TTCAGGTATTTCTTTTCCTTCTTTTAGTTGTGTTCCTATGCATTTGAGTAATCATGTGCTTTACAATACTGATTGTGTGGATTTTAGACTCTGGAGCAACAGATCATATGTGTGCTCACTCACATCTGTTCACCACCCTTTCTGATTTACCCTTTCCCCACACTGTCACCTTACCAAACAAGCAACAACTTTCCATTACTCAGTTTGGTACAGTTACACTCTTTCCCAATGTCACTTTACAAGATGTTCTATATGTTCCTCATTTTCAATACAATCTGCTGTCTATTGGGAAGTTATGTGCCCAATTAAAAGGATCTGTACAGTTTACTGAGACACAGTGTATTTTGCAGGGCCCTTCCATGAAGAGGCCACTGGTTCTTGGTAAACAAATTGGAGGTCTCTACCTGTCCCAAACTGATACAAGTTCAAAGTCTTCCAACACTTGTTCAACTCATCCTCTTGTGTTTTCTGCTCATGATATATCTCAATGTAATAAAGATTTTGTGTCTATTACTTCCTCTGCTTGTAATTCCAAAAACAAAAGTATTGATGTTGTCAAACTCTGGCATTTGAGATTAGGACATTTGCCTGCATATAAACTCAAGTCTGTGTGTCCTATTAGTAATGAAAATACTACTTGTCTTGATGTTTGTGATGTTTGCCCAAAAGCGAGACAACACAGGTTACCCTTTCCTCGTAGTCAAAGACAAACCCACCACCCTTTTGAACTTGTACATATTGATCTATGGGGTCCTTACCATACACGAACCCATAATGGATTTTATCATTTCCTTACCATTGTCGATGACTACTCCAGAGCCACTTGGACTTATTTGTTGAGTGCAAAGAGTAATGCCCCTGAATTTATCAAAACCTTTGTTGAGATGGCATTTACACAATTTGGGATTGCTGTCAAAACAATAAGATCAGACAATGCTTTAGAGCTTGGAAAAAGTAGGGAAACTATGAACTATTTTCTGTCCAAAGGTATTCTTCATCAAACCAGTTGCAAAGCCACTCCACAACAAAATGGGGTAGTTGAAAGAAAACATAAACATCTCCTTGAGACTTCCAGAGCTCTACTTTTCCAGTCAAATATTCCTTTAAAATTTTGGGGGGAGTGTGTTTTGACAGCCACATACCTCATCAACAGGTTCCCTACTAAGTTGCTTGGGGGGAAAACACCTTATGAACAGTTATTTGGGACCCCTCCTTCTTATGCTCATCTTAAAGTTTTTGGTTGTTTGTGTTATATATCCACTCCAAAAACTGGAAGAACTAAATTTGGTGCACGAGCTTCCCCAGCTGTTTTTCTTGGATATCCATATGGTAAGAAGGCATATAAAGTCTTCAATCTTGAGACACAAAAACTTGAGGATTCCAGGGATGTTGTGTTCCATGAAACTGTCTTCCCTTTTCATTCCAGCTCACCTTCATCTGAACCCATATTTCCTATAAATCCCATTTCTGATTTTTCTAGTCCTAATCCCATTACACCCTCATCATCCCTTTCAGATTCCATTCCCATTCCACAATCAAATTCTTCTCAACCTCATTCTGCCTCCAACCTCCCCTTACGCAGATCCAACAGAACCATTCAACCTCCTTCCTACCTTCAAGATTATGTTTGTCATAATGCCATAACCAGCTCACCCAATTCCTCTATCACAGATTGCCCTCATACTCTCACCTCTCACTGCTCACCCACACACATATGCTCTAGTGCTCTAACCACACATAGTCAGCATTTTTTGCATATGGTTTCACAATTGCAGGAGCCACACAATTATGAGGAGGCCAAGNTCTTCTCAACCTCATTCTGCCTCCAACCTCCCCTTACGCAGATCCAACAGAACCATTCAACCTCCTTCCTACCTTCAAGATTATGTTTGTCATAATGCCATAACCAGCTCACCCAATTCCTCTATCACAGATTGCCCTCATACTCTCACCTCTCACTGCTCACCCACACACATATGCTCTAGTGCTCTAACCACACATAGTCAGCATTTTTTGCATATGGTTTCACAATTGCAGGAGCCACACAATTATGAGGAGGCCAAGGAAGATCCTGCCTGGCAGGAGGCGATGAACAAGGAATTAGCAGCCCTAATGCTCACTGGAACATGGGTCATCTCTGAGCTGCCTAAAGGAAGGAAACCTCTTAGCTGCAAATGGGTCTATAAACTGAAGTTTAGATCTGATGGTACCCTTGAGAGGCGCAAAGCTAGGCTGGTTATTCGAGGATGTTTTCAAAAGGAAGGGATAGATTATCATGAAATTTTTTCTCCAGTTGTTAAAATGACAACAATAAGAGCTCTTATTGCAATTGCAGTAAAGAAACATTGGCCTATGTATCAATTAGATGTAAACAATGCCTTCCTTCACGGAGACCTTGATGAGGAAATCTATATGAAACCTCCACCTGGGATGGCTTTATCTTCTCCTGGTCAAGTCTTACGTCTTCAAAAATCATTGTATGGCCTTAAACAAGCATCTCGTCAGTGGTATGCTAAACTTTCTACAGCTTTAAGAAAGCGAGGTTATGTGCGTTCTCAGAACGATTACTCTCTGTTTACCAAACGTATGGGCAATTCTGTTGTTCACCTCGCAGTTTACGTCGATGACATTCTTATTACTGGAGATCATGGAGAGGAAATCCTTCATCTCAAGGCCTATCTTGATGACGCTTTCAAGATCAAAGATCTTGGTTCCTTGAATTATTTTTTGGGATTGGAAATCCTTTATGAACCTCTTGGTGTCATTCTCACTCAACGTAAATTTGCTCTTGATCTTTTACAAGAGTTTGGTTGTTCAGATTCTCCTCCCGTAGTTTGTCCTTAAGAGACAAATCTCAAACTCAAACCTGATGAAGGACCTCCCATTACTAATCCTACTCTTTACAGAAAATTGGTGGGAAAGTTGAACTTCTTAACACACACCAGACCTGATTTGGCTTATACAGTGCAACTTCTCAACCAATTCATGAGTGATCCAAGACAACCACATTGGGACGCTGCTATTCACACCCTACGTTACCTTAACTGTAGACCAGCTCAAGGACTTTTCTTCAATTCTACTCCAGATTTTAAGCTTCAAGCTTATTGTGATTCTGACTGGGCAGCTTGCCCAATCACACGCCGTTCAGTAAGTGGTTACTTTATTATTTTTGGTGGCAGCCCAATCTCATGGAAATCGAAGAAACAACATACTGTATCTTTAAGCTCTGCTGAGGCTGAATACCGTTCCCTTCGCCGTGTCACTGCAGAACTCTCATGGCTTTCTCGCTTGCTAACTGAATTGGATGTTCCCGATATTATACCCATTCCTGTGAAATGTGACAACAAGGCAGCGATATATATTGCGAGAAATCCTGTGTTCCATGAACGTACAAAGCATATCGAGATTGATTGCCATTTTGTACGTGAGAAACTACAAGAGGGCTTGGTCTCTTTGGATTTTGTTCCTAGTTCTCATCAGCTCGCAGATGTTTTTACCAAGAGCCTTCCTGGACCTTCGCATCATCAATTGCTCTTCAAGTTGGGTGTTCAAGAACCCTCCAACTTGAGGGGGGGTGTTAGAAGTTAGATGTCCAGCTGTCATTTTGTTATTTGTCCAGTTGTCCAGCTATTTTTTTCTCCTTTTCTGTTTTTTTTCATCTTCCGTTAGTTGGTTAGCATATTTGCCAAAAGGCCCCTCTCTCTTTCTGTAATAAGTAGAACAAGAACAAAGCTGCGAATAAGATTTCCTTCTTCGTTTTTCCACTGTGCGCAATTCCAACAATTTAAGAGTAACACAAGACTAATTTTAACTAAAATAAAGACGGAAGTACAACTAAAATAAAGAAATATGTGACAAAGAGTATTCATTTACTCTTAAATAAGTATTTGACGTGGACAGGAAATATCGCACATGTGGTTGTACCATATCTTAAAACTCAACCTACCTCTCTAGTAGAACCTGTGTGCAACTCCATGCCACATTTTAAAACATGTCTTTCTTTCTTCTCTCACCTCTCACAAATGATGGGGCATCTCAAGCATGTAAAAGGAACATATTCAGTTTCAAAACCTGTTTTAGTAGTCAATTAGGATCTTGGAGTTGATAATCAAAATGCTTCCCGAATTGGATACATTTTCTTTGCTTTAATGACTTTCCTCAACTAGTAATATGACATTCTGTTTTTCATGGACAAACAGGGGATATGATGGAAAGACTGTGTACTGCTTCAGAAATACAGTTTTATGCATCAAATATAATGATGGGTGCGTTGCAAAGAAAGAGTACTAACTTTGTGACACTTAACAAGAACTGTAATTTATCATCTTGGGGTTCTGGTTGTGACCCTGGTTGGGCTTGTAGTGTTGGAAAAGACGTGGCCGTTGATCTTAAAAATCTCAAGGAAATCCCAGCTAGAACTCACAATTGTCAACCATGTTGTGAAGGTTTCTTTTGTCCTCATGGTCTCACCTGCATGCTACGTGAGTATCTACTTTTTATTTTACTTCATCATTGCTACCACATTCACACACATTATGTATGAACATATGATAAAGAGAAGTAATAAGTTGGCAATTCTTTAGTAGTCTTGAGTTAAAAAATGTGAAATCGCGTGAAAGATTACTGCTATCTAAAGATTTGTTAATGAATGACTTGCATATATAGTTGGTTTTCTTCTCATTAATGCACGACATATTTTATGAAACTCTCAGCATTATATTTCACATTGTTTTATTCTGTTCATGTGATTCTTTTCCTTTGTGTTGTGTGGTGAAGCCTGCCCATTAGGATCATATTGCCCTCTAGCAAGACTCAACGAAGCCACGGCAGGATGTGATCCGTGAGTTTGATGCTTTTCTCAAGCTATTTTCTCTTCTCGCTATGGTCACAAAGCAATACTCTCTGCTGCTACCTTGCAGGTATAATTATCAAGTACAACCTGGTCAGATTAATCAAACATGTGGTGGAGCAGATATGTGGGCTGATATTATTACCGGTCATGATCTGTTCTGCCCAGCAGGATCTTACTGTCCAACTACTATCAATAAAATTCCATGTGATAGTGGGTATTGATTTTATCCAAAATTTGAATTTGAGTTTTCTTTCTCCTTTCAAATCATGTGTTTTAGGTCGGATAGATGCTCAGCTTAACCCAAAGTTCTGAGCTTTTCAGGAATATCCTGTTACTCACGCTATTCATTTGCATTTTCCAGGCATTACTGCAGAACAGGCTCAACGACCCAAACAAGTAGGTATTTCTTTTGAGATTTTGGTGTTTTTTTTGTTATCTCAATAATTTCAGTCCTCAGCAAGAAATAAATATAAAAGATAGTTTCTGTTCCATGGTTGATTCAATAATGTCCAGTGTCCTAGAGTAGCATTAATATTAGCAATACAACCATACATCACCAATGTATTGAGATATCTGCAGATAAACGTGTAAAAAAGTGTCCAGCTTATATTGGGAATTATACAGTTCGTTGGGAATGTGGAACTAGTGTATACTGGGAATTTGGCTCACTTTGTAACTTGTTTATAAGAATCTTCTCCCAAATTCCAAACCTTTTGAATGACTAATATGTAAGTTAAAGAAGTATGTCTTATGTTGCGAATTAGGAAAAGTTTAGAAGAATATTTGGAAAAACTTGAAAACTTTGTACATTAATGAGCAGCACTAATAGGAATAGACAGATGGATGATTTTACTTATGTTAACACTGATGAATTTTCAGAATGTTACGAGTTGGCTACTTGTGACCCCGGAGCAGAAAATCAAAACATTACCGCATATGGTGCTCTTTTTGTTGTAAGTTACAATCTCATTCATTAGGGCCTACTCTGCATAATTATATGCACATGCATCTTTGGTTTTTTTCATTTGTAAGATGGAAGGAGAGGATTTTGTTGGACTTAATTTCTAACATTTTTGGAGTACTCAAAAGCATATTCTTTTCACTAGTATACTGAGTGATACAATTCAACCTCAACCATAATACCAAACACATTAATTATTTTTCTTTTCGTGCATACATTGATATAAGTTTCATGAAAGCCTTCCTTAACTTCCCACTCTCCAATGGTTGACTAGGCTGGAATCATTCTCATACTTTTTGTTATATACAATTGCTCGGACCATGTTCTTAGCACCAGAGAGAAAAGGCAAGCTAAGTCCAGAGAAGCTGCTGTAAAAAGTGTGCAGGAAACTGTACAAGCACGTCAAAAATGGAAAACTGCAAAGGATATTGCTAGAAAGCGGGCAACTGAACTTCAGTCACAGTTGTCGAGAACATTTTCCCGTAAAAGATCAGTGAGGGAGGAAACAAAGGATTCAGGTCAAGCAACAGATGCTTCCTTGAATCCCAATCCTTCTGAAGAGAACTCTGAGAGTTATGATGATTTCAACATTGAGATTGAGGACAAAAATGTGAAGAAGAAACCTAGTAAGGCTAAGCACTTGCATACTCGCAGTGAAATTTTTAGATATGCTTATGGTGAAATTGAGAAAGAAAAAGCTCTTCAGGAGAATAGCCCAAATCTTAGCTTCTCTGGAGTCATCTCAATGGACACCGATAGTAAAGTGACAAGACCTCCCATTGAGGTTGTTTTTAAAGATCTGACACTTACTTTAAAGGGGAAAAAGAAACATCTGTTGAGGTGTGTATATGGGAAGTTGTCTCCTGGTCGTGTTTCTGCTGTTATGGGTCCATCCGGGGCTGGAAAGACAACATTTCTTTCTGCTTTGACTGGAAAAGCTATAGGTTGTACCATGAGTGGTGTTATTCTTATAAATGGAAAGGCTGCAGCAATGCAGTCATACAAAAAAATCATTGGCTTTGTCCCACAAGATGATATAGTGCACGGGAATTTGACCGTGGAAGAAAATCTATGGTTTAGCTCTATATGCAGGTATGCTAATGTCTTCAGTTTTTACTATGTGGTTTTTTAAGTTTACTCATATGTTCTTTTTTTTAATTACTTTAAATTTTGTAGGTTGCCAGCAAAGCTTCCAAAAGCAGAAAAGGTTTTAGTTGTGGAACGAGTCATTGAATCCCTCGGATTGCAAAATGTGAGATATTCCTTAGTTGGTACAGTTGAGAAAAGAGGCATATCTGGCGGGCAAAGGAAGCGAGTGAATGTTGGGCTGGAAATGGTAATGGAACCTTCATTACTGATCTTAGATGAACCTACCTCTGGTTTGGACAGTGCTTCTTCTCAGTTATTACTTAGAGCACTTCGCCGTGAAGCTCTTGAAGGAGTAAATATATGCATGGTGCTTCACCAACCAAGGCAATTTACAACTCTTATCTGTAAATGAACAACGCTTACAAGTTACTCTCTCTATTCCATATTAATTGTGTCTATTATGGCTTTTTAAATACATCTAGAAATGAATGAATGTAAACGTAATTTATGTCTACATTCATTCATTTTTCAATGTATCTAAAAAGTCATAATCGACAGTTAATATGGAATGAAGGGAGTAACATATACTACTTATTATAGTTTCCCCTTTTTTCTTCCTTTTAGTCTAAAAAGTTGATTTCCTACTTCAGCTATGCATTGTTCAATATGTTCGATGAATTTATACTTCTAGCAAAGGGTGGGCTCGTCGTCTACCATGGACCAGTGAAGAAAGTTGAAGAGTACTTTGCAGGCCTTGGGATTCATGTCCCTGAGCGTGTTAATCCCCCTGATTATTTTATTGACCTATTAGAAGGAATTGAAAAACTGAGCCCAGAAATAGGAGTGAACTACAAAGATCTTCCTCTGAGGTGGATGCTTCATAATGGCTATCCTGTACCACCAGACATGCTAGAGCCTGCTGGATTACCCTCTGCTGCTCCTAATGAAGAAAATGCAACTCTTGAAGGAACTCCTGCTACTGAGGAGCCTGATGTAACTCTATTAGGAAACCTGTGGCAGGACCTCAAAACTAATATTGGACAGAAAAAGGACCAAGTGCAACATTATTTCTTGACCTTAAAGGACTTGTCTGATCGGGAAACTCCAGGTCTATTGGTTCAGTATAAATACTTCCTTGGAAGGTGAGGACTAAAGATGCATAAAAATGACTTTCCTTGGATCTTTTTCCCATTTCGCTAACATTTCCCCGGATCCAAACATACCCTTGAGGCAGTTGAAGGGTGATTAATGATAACTCGTTTATATTAATATTTAATTTTGTAAAAAAATATAACATGCTAGTAATGCAATTTGTTCAGAATCGGAAAACAGCGATTGCGAGAAGCTATGGTACAGGCAGTAGATTATCTTATTCTGCTACTGGCTGGAATCTGTTTAGGAACTCTAGCTAAAGTGAGTGATGAAAGCTTTGGGACCATGGGATATCTTTACACTGTCATAGCCGTCTGTAAGTAAAAATAAATTATTTATTAGGCTTTGTTTGGTAACTTTTTGTGTGTCTGGGTAGCTAAAACCATACTATTTGCAGCTCTACTTACCAAGATTGCTGCTCTGAGGTCCTTTTCTTTGGATAAGTTACACTACTGGAGAGAAAGCGCTTCTGGAATGAGCAGCTTGGCTTTTTTCATGGCAAAGGACACAGTTGACCATTTGAACACCATTGTGAAGCCAGCAGTGTACCTTTCAATGTTCTATTTCTTCAACAATCCAAGATCCACTATCCTGGATAACTATCTGGTCCTGCTTTGTCTTGTGTATGCGGCTACTGGAATAGCCTATGTACTTGCCATCTGTTTTGAACCTGGACAAGCTCAGCTGGTGAGAATTCAATTTTAAACATTGATCTGTAAATGGCACAAATTGTTTATGGTTTTCAATGCATACATTCTGTACTCATTAAACTGCTTGTTTACTGCATGCAGTGGTCAGTTTTGCTTCCAGTCGTTTTGACTCTTGTGGCAAACCAGAAAAGTGACTCATATCTCGGACGGATAGGAGATTTTTGCTATACTAAATGGACGCTGGAAGCATTTTTGATAGCAAATGCTAAAAGGTAAGATTGCCTTCAACCAGTTTCACCATCCTGCAAAAAAAGAAAACAAAACACATTATCGTTTGCATTGAATAAAAAAAATGAAACCCGAACACATTATTGTTTGCAAACACCTCTCAAAGTATTGATTAGACATGAGGGAGTGAACAAATTGGCTGATTTTTTAAAGGGGATTTTTTTTTCAGGTACTCAGGAGTGTGGCTAATCACAAGGTGTGGTGTCCTAAAACAGAGAAGTTTCTTCCTTTCAGATTGGTATTCTTGTTTGGGTTGCCTCATTCTCACAGGCGTCCTCAGCCGAATTACAGCATTCTTCTGCTTAATTGCATTCCAGAGGAAATGAATCTTTTCTTCTTCATTTTTTCATTCTTCTGACCGGTTTTCGTCATCAAACATGGAAGAGTGTTCATATATAAACAACCCCTGAAAAGAGAAAACTATGGTGTGCTGGAAATCAACAAAATCAAGAAAGAACTTTACAAAGGCACCAACTTGCTGCTGTTGTACATTTACTTGTATCTTTTTTTCTCCTTTTAATTTAAGATGTTTGAACAGTACATTGGAATCCTTTTATCCAGTCAGAGAAAAAGAATAGAAGTATTTAGGTTAATATTGAGAATTTTGATTCTTGACTATGACTAACCTCAAAATCTGCAGTATGCAACAGAGATCACATGGCAATGGGAGTATATATGTAAGCACATTTATGCTAATGTTCCCAAGCTTTTGACAAATATTAGGACCCAATTTTGAAACTTTTGAAGTCAAAATCGGGTGCAAAAGACTTTCTTTTTTATAAGCAACCCTCGTGGACATAGTGAGATGCGTGGGGAGAGTTTACTTGTGTTGCTTATTTTAGAAAAGTTACCAAAACCCACACTTTTGGAATACCAGGAAAGTTCTTAAGAGAAGAAATTGGTATCTTGTTTTGCACTTATAGAATTTTGGGAAGGTTCTTAAGAAAAGAAATTGGAATTTTCTTTCACATTTAGAGCTTGTTGTCTTTAAATTATTCTCATTATTTATTACTTTTTTTATTAGAATCAGAACAGATCAAAAAATAGTTTTTAAATATAACTATAATTAGATTAGTTCAGATCAAATTAGAGTTTATTTCAATAAGATCAAAACCTGTGAAGAGTTAGTTGAAAGATTCTATTGGAACCTAAGTACCCCATATTGATAATGTCTCCAACAAGGAGTGGAGATATTATTGTAAAAATCATCAAAATTTCTAACTGAAATAATTAATAAATTTTCCTTCTTTTATTTGAAAATATATATTTTTTGAAAACATAAATTTTCTTTCTTGTGGTGTCAAAATGAGTAAAATTATAAGAAATCACCCTAAATAGAGAATATACCAAAATAGAAATTTTATGTTTTTATTACCTAAATAGAAGTTTGCGCTGTGATAATGTGGTAATGTACATGTGCATTTCACGTATTGTACATACATGATCATGATTGTTAATGAAAATGCATTTTAACTTCTATTTCGAGAATAAAAACATAGAACTTCTATTTTGGTGTATTTTCAATGTTTTACTCATGTTTTTGTGGCACAATTTGCTATTGTCGGTGATTTCCCATGTCACTCCGACACCACTAAGTCACCTTCATCGCCACCGGCACCACTAAGTCGCCTTCATCACCGCCGACACCACCAAGACATGTAACCATCGTCAGTGTCATAGTGACTGTCAAGGGAAAAAATTTGTTATACAATGTCAACTATAGCTATAAATATTGTCAAAGATGACAATATACACTGCCACACGGGGCACTGCATAAAAACAAATATGACACTGTATTATGTCAACACGAAGCAAAATGAAAACGAAAACTTGAATTTTCTAAAAACTAGACATTGCAAACAAATTTGACTATTAAGCCAAGCAATCAAAATAATTTCTTAAATCCAGACATCGTGGAAAAGTGGTCTCGTTGTCGTTGGAAAAACTTCAAGGATGCATGGAAGTTTTGTTCTTCTTTGTTTTGCGGCGTGGATAGATTGAGGGAGATACGTTGGGTATTGTCATTGTAAGGGGACGACGGCGATGTCGATTGGGGTGATGGCGGAAGCAGCTAGGATGTAACTAAGATGGTGATCGGCGATGGTTCTTGAGATTGAAGAAGGGAAAACAATTTGGATCGGCGGAGATTTTTGAGATTGAAGAAGGTGGCTCTTGAGATTGAAGATGATGATCAGGAGTTACAAAAATTAATGATTATTTCCGGTGATCAACTGGCATGGAAAAAATTAATTAATTACGCATATATAGGGAAGTTTATGTTTGAGCTCAAACTTTGATCATATAACATATATTTTATTTGTATTTAAGATGATTTCTTTTATTTAAAAGTTATTTATTGTATTATATACTCTGTATAAATGAATTAATTAATAATTATACAAATAATCACAATAATGTTAAAAAATAAACAAAAACTACTATCTTTGTCTCATTATTTTGTCCAGTTTAACTTTCTTGAGTCAAACAAGACAAATTTTAAATTTTAATTACTTTCAATTTGTATTGTATAATAATACGGAGTACAATGCAATAAAATTTTAAAAATTCTCAATAAAATATATCTAACAAAATTATTTTTATCCTTTATATATATTATTTGAGACTCGGGCTCACAGAATGTCGACATGTGGCGGGTCTACTTGGCAAGTTTTTTATGAGTCATCCGCCACCTTTGAAGAGTTTAATGACTTGGCAATTTTATATTAAAATATAGAAAAATCCAATTCTAATTAACATGCCTAATATATACGGAGTACCTTATACAGAGACTAGAATATAATTACGAAGTAGAAAAATAAGAAGATAATTAGGATGAGTATTTCTTTGGTGCACCTTGAGTGCATATCATTTTTGTGGAGCTTCTCACATAAAATATATTTTTTTCAATTTTTTAGTTATAAAAAAAAATGCTTATTTTAGTAATAAAAAATACTTATTTTGCTCAAATGTACGTCTATGGTACACCTTAAGTCCACCATAGAATTTGTCGAGAATCATTAATATGTTTAAAACAAAATTCATAGATTGAAATAAGAATTTCAATGCGTTAAACCAACGATAATATATAATTTTAGAATTATTGAAGATATTTTTTGAAAAAAATGCATACGCAATGTTGACTACTTAAGTAAATTGTTTTTGGGGAAGCCTAATATAAATAAATAACCTTAGATATTTGAAGAAAATTATACTACATCCGTCCCATAAAATTTTTCAAATACAAAGAAAGGCGTCCCATAAAACTTTTCAAATTAGAAAAAAGGCGCATCCTAAAATCATTTATCCTACACATCATACCTTATGACCTTATTATAAAGTAAAGGAAAAATTTAAAAATAATATCAAAATTATACTCCCTCCGTCCCAAAAAGTTTGTTACGTTTAGAAAAAACTGCGTCCCGTAAAGTCTGTTACATTTCTATTAAAAAACCACTTTTACCCCTTACTTTTTCATACCCTACCTATCACATCATACCTTTTTCCTAATAATCTACCCATCACATCCTACTTTTACCCATCACATCAAGGGTATTTTTGGAAAGTCAATACCAAAATATCACTCCCTTAATTTTTCAAAAAGTCAAACCGTCCCATTCTTTTTGGGACGGAGGGAGTATATTTTTAAAGGAGTTCAGTGTTATGTCATTTCCAGATGATAGTCTTCTTAATAGATTTCAAAATAATTTCTTGATTGAGAACTTGAACTATGACAAAGAAAAATTGTCATTTGATTTTAGAGGATATTTATCTACGATGAATAAAGATCAAAGAAAGATATCTGATGTGATAATCGAAATCTAATATCTAAAAGAGGAGGTTTCTTTTTTATATATGGTTACGGGAGACTACTTGGGAAAACATTTATATAGAAACCAATGTCTACTACTCAAGAACGAATGGTATGTAAGGCTGCTTTGAATGTTGCATCCAGTGACATTGTAGCATTGCTTTTGCATGGTGGAAGGATAGCACACTCGAGATTCTCAATCTCTCTCGCTTTAACTGAGTGCTCAATGTGTGCTATAAAACAAGGGGGGTCCGAAAGCAGAATTAATCTAACAAGCAAGTGGAATCATATGAGATGAAGCATGTGTGATGAATAGATTTGTTTTTGAGGTATTGGATCACACAATGAGAGAGATATTGAGGTTCTACAATAATAACTCTAGAAATGAACCATTCAGAGGAAAAATATTAGTACTCGGAAGTGATTTTTGTCACTTCCTTCCAATTTTACCAAAGCTTCGAGAGAGAAAATTATAGGTGCTACCGTGATTTCTCCAAAATAGAGGTTGTATTGTAAAGTTTTTATGTTGAGCAAGAATAAGATATTACATTCATCTATGTCCTATTGCCTAGGTAGGGATACACAAGCTTTTTCTGATTGGATAATCAAAATTGGAGATGGAAAGCTTGGTCAAGTGATTGGTGGAATTGCTGACGTTGAAATTCTGACTGGATTCTTGATTCTTGACATAAATTATCCTCTCAAGAGTATATTACTGGAATTCACTTATCTGAAGTTATTGGAGAATATGAAAAAATATTCTTTTTTAAGATTATGCACCATTAGCACCCACTCTCGAAGTTATTGAAATAGTAAACGAGTTTGTCTTATTCCTCATTCTCAGTGATGAAAAAGGAGTAATTGAGTTATGATTCTAAATGGCAAGCAGATGCCAATATAGGTGTTGATGCTTATTGGATAACATTTGAATTTTTGAATGAAATCAAATGTCCAGATGTCCGGGGATCCCAAACCAATTCAAAAAATAGTTTTGAAAAAAAGGGTACTGATTATGTTATTTGGATTGTATAATGGTACAAGATTAATTGTTGAAGAGGTACGAAAAAATGTAAACCATGCAATCGTGGTTTCGAGAAATCGAGACGGAGAAAAGGTTTACATACCTCGAATAAATTTGGTATCATATGATCCAAGGCTACCCCATAAAGTTTCAAAAGAGACGATTCCCAATAGTTTTATGTTTTGCTATGACTATTAACAAAAGTTATGGTGAAACATTATCTTTTATTATATTATTTTAACTAAGTCAGTATTCACTTATGGTTAATTTTATGTTGTTGCTTCACAAATGAAGAAAAATACATAATTAAAAATGTTTATTTTAGATGACAATAAAAACTCTTTCAACCATACCAAAAATATTTTTTACTCTGAAGTGTTTCAAAAAATTTGGATTTTAATAAGTCTTTGTTTTGCATATACTTTCAATTATTCAAATTTTATTTATTCTATTTTGATGTTGATGTATATATAGTATTAAAAATCATGTAATAAATTTATTTTATTTAATCCACAAAAAATAATACATGAAAAAAAGAATTGAAAAAAATTGGGAGAAATACCAAAGTAGGACTAAAACTTTGAAAATATACCAAAATAGGACTTCCATGTTTTTATTCCCGAAATAGGACTTACATTACAAACTATGGTCATATATATTACCAAAAAACATAGAAATTTGCACATGTACACTGCCACATTACCATAATGCAAGGTCACATTACCACAGTGCAAAGTCCTATTCCGGGGAAAAAAACATGAGAGTCCTATTTTGGTACTTTTATCTATGTTTTAGTCCTATTTAGGATGATTTCTACAAAAAAATTTTGTTCGACCCCGTGCATGGCACGGTTCAAAATACTAGTATTAATATAATCACAACTTTTTTTAATAAAGCTCAAAATTTATATACGGAGTATTTGATTCGAAAAAATTAAATTAGACAATTGCATTCAATCCAATCATTCAATGAGATTTGATCCAATCAATCCAATCAAATGAATCAATGGTCAATAGAAATCAGCTTGAACGCAGCATGAGATAGGTGATAATGTGATATTAGAGGCGAGACGGAGATGCAAATCGGAAGGGGGCGTAGCAGGACTCAGAAATGCTGAAGAATCTTACCGTTTGAGATTTCAGGTTTCCTTCGACTCTTTCTTTTTAATTTTTTTCTCCGTTCATCTGGATCGAATCGCCGAGCCGATCCGGCGATTCTAGGCCTAGCCTAGCAGATCCCAACGATTCAAGTATATTTACGATGCCAGCCTCGATCCGGATTGAAATGATGAACAGTACCTATAAAGTCTTCCGATTTGTGCGATCTGGATGGCTATTTTAAGCGGCCTCTGGAGAAGATGTGATTCCCCCTGTTGCGAGTTTATTTTAATTTGATATCTCAGTTTATTTATTTAGCTAAATTACAAATTGTTTGCGTATTAGATTGGTGTTTAGGTGTGTGTTAAAATGATAACTTCATATTCGCAAATAATTATATATTGAAGTTTACTGCCATAAACAAGGTTTGAACGTGATGAATATATTAATATAAACACGGAGTGGGTATTTATGCAGTAAATGACATTGATCCCTCGGAGTTTTGACTATTTGATGATTTATACTTCGTAGTTAGTAATAATTCATACAGAGTAGGTATTTAGCTAATTTATGATTTGATGTCTCCATTTGTTCTATCATGTATACTTTTTTATTTTTGAGTTGAGGATTGTTTGTTCTCGCCTTAGAGTTTTAGATTAAACTTGTTAAGCAGATCAGGTGCTTGTTATGGTAGTTCAGTTTTAGTTCTGTTTAGAAAATTGATCGTGGAGGCGCCATTGAGGATTTTGTTTTTACTAATGGCGGAAGGATGAACTTTTTAAGTGATTGTTAGACATTGACTTTCATAAATTTGTTGTACTGCATTTGTTTGCAAATGCTTATTTATGAATATGTTGTAAAATTTAAAAAGGCTTGCACTTCATTAAGTAATTTATTAATTATATTTGTTGGGGCCCATTTTTTCTTCATAGTACATGACTACATAGACCCTTAAATGTCAGGCCTGGTCATAGTGGTTCTTAATTCCTTTCATGATATGTCGAATGTTTAGCTTTAGCTATTGTTAATTATTTTATTTTTCATTTTATAATGTGGGATTTTTGTCTCTTTCAGAAGTTTTGTTGCATCGCACATAAATGTTAGAACAGCTCATTATTTTCACTAGAGGGGGTCTGATCCTCTGGACCTTCAAAGGGATTGGAAATGCTCTTAAAGGTTCTCCAATTGACATCTTGATTCGGTCTTGCCTCTTGGAAGAACGATCAGGCTCTGCATCCTACAACTATGATGCCCCTGGAGCTGCTTACACTCTGAAGTGGACATTTCACAATGAACTTAAGCTTGTATTTGTTGCTGTTTATCAGAGGTTTCTAAATCTTTTGTATGTTGAGGATCTACTAGCTATGGTCAAGCAAGAGTTCTCACAGATATATGACCCAAAGCGGACCGCGTACACTGAATTTGATGATATTTTTGAGCAGCTAAGGAAAGAGGTGGAGGCACGTGTTGAGGAAATGAAGAAATCAAAGCAGGTAGGGAAACCTATGAAGACTACACTTGGCAAGAAGCAAGGACATGGACAGAGGGGCATGTTTGATGGAGGTAATAAAAAAAGTGAATCGGGAGATGACGATGGAGAGGAAGACAAGGTAAAAAGCTGTTCACTAGAAGATGGTAATTCTAACTGTAGATCTGAAAAAGAGAAGTCGCCTGCAGAGTTGGTTGATAAGGGTAAAAAGATTGCTAACTCTGAAACAGGGGCATTTGATGTAAATAAGTTACAGAAAATTAGGTCTAAAGGTGTAAAGAAAAATGATACTGTTGGCAAAAAAGGTATTAAGGCAGAGCCACAGAAAATGACGAAAAAGAATAGAGTCTGGGATGATTCCCCTCCACCAGCAAAGTTAGATTTCTCCCAGCATGTGAATGGGAATGGGGAGCAGAATTTAGCAACCGTGGTAGTGGATCAAGGTGAGAGTATGATGGACAAAGAGGAAATTATCAATGACAGTGAAAGCGAGGAAGATGACAATGAAATAGAGAAAGACACCGTTGAAACAAAGAAAAAAGGGTGGTTCTCATCCATTTTCCACAGGTAGCTCTATGAGGAAACTCTCCTTCTACCTAATTGTATATTTGTATTTCTTTTGCTAAACACATATTCTTTGCAGCTTCTCTGATTTCGTTTTATTTTCATTAGCTCTATTCAAACTCAGCGAGTTTTGATGGTCTTCTCCCTTAGACTATTATCTAGTTATTGTTTGTTTTTTGTGTTTTTTCCTTCTGGAAATGTCCATTGCTAATGAAAACTAAAAGAGATGTAGTTGACAATGTTTTAGCTTTAAGTAAATACAAGAACAACCTAGGAAAATCCCACAACACTTGGGTCTCGGGAGGGTGTGTGTACACAAAAGTTTTTACGTATACCCAAGTACTCCAGTACTAGATCTCCAGATGTTCCTATCTAAGGTCATATCCTTGGTTTAAGTCGTAAATTCTGTCTCATAACCTCCTTTGACCTCTTCATAAGTCTACATTTACCCCTTCTCATGCCAATTACCGCAAGCCTCTTGCATCACCTCACTGGGGCCACTGCACTTCTCCTCCTTACGTGCCCAAACACCTCAACATAGCTTCAGATAAATAATGGACTAAATCAAAATGGCACATTAAATTTCCTTTGCTTCTTACTTTCAATGAAGTTTATGGTAGTAGATGCACTAATGCATAAGTGGTCTAACAGAAGCACTCTCTGTATTTTACTGAGGTAAGGCTGTGTATGCCTTGACCCCCAGACCCCAATGAAGTTTGAATTATACTGGATTGTTGTTGCTTTTCTTTTCCCCAAAAAATTGCTTTGTGGGCACACATTTTTTTTGCATCAATTTTGTTTGTTCAATGTTGTATGACAACCACAACTATCTAAGAAAACATTAGCAACTGTCCGAGAGACTTGATGAACAATAATGCTTATAATAAGGTGAGCTTTGAGCCTTATAACCACGATTACTGAGACCATAGTTCGGGAGCACGTCCTATTGTCTTACACATTTTTATCCTTTATTTTGCAATTCTCATACCATCTTATGGGTGTACCCTTACCCTTTAATACATACATAAATCACACACACATTTAATTATTGAGTTTAGTTGTAGCTTAGTGGTTGCTTATGCAATTGTTATTTAAGAGGTTGCAACTTCAAAGCTCCTTACATGCAAAGTATTTTTAAATTTTTTAATGCTTATGTACACCTGTTGCAGTAGTATTTACACAAATGTTATCTAAACATATTCATGTTCTATTTACATCCGTTTGAGCATTTACACCTATTGCATTATTATTTACACGTTATCAAAATGTACTCATGTTTCATTTACACCAATTGCAGTAGCATTTACACCAATTGCAGTAGCATTTACACCAGCGCTATCTAAACATACTCATGGTTCATTTATACCGGCCAAATATTTGATTTAAATGAGTATAAAAACATTTTAAAAATCTTAGCTTCTAGCACTAATTTAGCATGCATACTCCCTAACTCAGTGCACGTGCTTGACCACCAATAGAACTTGCATCTTAAATTTGATACCTTTATATATGTTAAAGGTGCAGGAGCATCTAGTTCACCATGCACCCGTACCATGTATAATATGTGCAATATTGAATCATACAATGCTTATATCTTATTGTCTGTTTATTGGATTGGATTGCATCCATTTTGAAGTTGTTTTGACATATATGCTGTTTTGTCCTGCCCTTCCCATTTCTAGTATTGCAGGTAAGGCAAATTTGGAGAAGGCTGATCTGGAACTAGCCTTAAAAGGTCTTAAGGACATGCTTATGACCAAGAATGTGGTATGTTCATAAAATGCTACATCCATAAGTAAAAAGTGAAAAAAGGAGAGTGAAAAGAGGGTGAATTAAGGATGAAATAAAATGGGGGAAAATATTTCCATTGGTTCATGACAAGGTTTTATACTCCGTACTAGACAATCTTTAAAAATTTTACACTTCCATCAAACGGTTTAATGATATTCTTTGCAGGCTGAGGAAATTGCTGAAAAGCTATGTGAGTCGGTGGCAGCTGGCCTTGAGGGTAAAAAGCAAGCCTCGTTTACGAGAATTTCTTCTATAGTTAAGGTAAGAAGACCATTACCTTAGTAACATGCTATAAATAGCTGGTGGTATCATTGGAAGAGTAATTAAAAATGTGACAAAGCAGTTAAAACGGCATTTAAATTATTTCAAGCACAAACTTTACTGTGATGGCCAGATTGAATTGGCCCATAGTATATATATTGTTAGGCTCAGCATACCCAGTCCACTCATTTAATTGTTTAGTATTTCGGGTTGTCCATTTGGATCATGTGAAGTCCAACCCCTCCCCCTATCCACTTTCTTACATGCGCCAGGCATGTGGAGTCAAACACATGACCCCATTCACTAGCCTCCAAGGAAACATGGGGTTAGCTTTCACATCATGGAAGGATTTGACTAGCGGTTGTGCCCCATCACATCCATGAATAATGGACTGTGCCCATCACTCCTATGTGGTATAAATAGAACCTCTACGTTCTTGGTGAGGGATCTCACTATCATTATTCAAGCTCGTTCTATAAGTTTTTGCTCTCGTATTTAAATTATTTATTTATCGTACTTGTAAAATCTTTGTACACGGCCCACTGCCTTATCTCTTGTGGATTAAAGTCCATCATACTCTTTGTGAAATTTTGATATGAAAGTCTTTTCTACAAACCAGGCTGCAATGGAGGATGCTCTTATCCGCATACTGACTCCTAAACGCTCCATAGATATTCTAAGGGATGTTCATGCAGCAAAAGATCAAGGGAAGCCATACGTTGTGGTTTTTGTAGGAGTTAACGGAGTCGGGAAGTCAACCAATCTTGCGAAGGTTTTAATTAACATTGGATGCTTTATGGTATTTATATATCACAGGAATGCCTTGTGCATTTGACAAACTCTTTTCTCTGCTGTATACAGGTTGCTTATTGGCTTCTGCAGCATAAGATCAATGTAATGATGGCAGCTTGCGATACATTCCGGTCAGGTGCCGTGGAGCAACTCCGTACTCATGCACGTAGGCTTCAGGTATGTTGTGGCATGTTCTTGTAGTATTCTTCTTCTAGAATCATATAAGCAGCAACAACAACAAACCCAGTAAAGTCCCACAGATTGGGGTCTGGGGTAGGTGTATGCTTATCTTACCCCTACTTGTAAACTAGAGCCTAGAACCATTAAGGTTATGTGAATACTGTTGGGATTCCTGACCTTTGGCATATATAGATCCCTATATACGAGAAGGGCTATGAGAAAGATCCTGCGATTGTTGCAAAGGAAGCAATCCAAGAGGCCTCTCGCAATGGTTCTGATGTTGTTCTTGTGGATACTGCCGGTCGAATGCAGGTATTTGATTTTGAATTTCAGATCCTCTTATACGTTTTGTATGTTATGAAAATGGGGAATCCCACAGCCTAGAATGCTTTAAGTCTTCTTGTGGGTTGAAAATTTTTACCTGCGTATTTATACCTTGTTCTTAGTTATCCTGATGTGCTTCCCGACAGGATAATGAACCATTGATGAGAGCATTATCAAAGCTTATTTATGTCAACAATCCAGATCTCATCCTGTTTGTTGGTGAGGCTCTTGTTGGGAATGATGCTGTCGACCAATTGTCAAAGTTCAATCAGGTTCGTACTTTGGCTTACGTGATATGCACACATAATGATACACACTTCACAACACATGTGGACACGATGACACACACTCCGTCCATTTCATTTTGTGCGTCAAGCTAATCAAATGCCAAAATTATGTATTTAAAAAAATTAATAAATGAGTGAAGAAAGAAGAGTTAGTTTAACCAATTCATAGTAGTCTTATATGAACTTTATGATTGCTTTTTATTGTAGAAATTGGGTGATTTATCACCCTCGCCAAATCCAAGATTGATTGACGGAATTCTCCTTACCAAGTTTGACACCATTGACGACAAGGTACATTACAAAGTTTAAACTATTACGGGGTATTATTTACCTTTGTTGATGGAACAGGTGCAGTGTCTGTTGGCATTAGCCTTAGCGTTTAAAAAGGGTATCCACCGTTTGCCCTTCAATTTAGCATTTTAAAAGTTAACTTGCACTATTAAAAATTAATATTCAAAACTAGGGGTTGGCATTTAACCTAGGCACCCAGCTGACTGTGAAACCGATGACCGAAAAATGAACTAACCAATATATATACACACACACACACACACACACACACACACACATATATACATATACATATACATACATACATACATATATATATATATATATATATATATTCCAATATCTTGTTAATCAATCTTACTTCCAAACTCACATCTATAGAAAAGTAATAGCATAAATTAGTTAGAATTAATTTGATGAATGTATATTTAGGAAATAAAATAGAAGAAAATAAATCAACCATCGATTTTTCTGTCAATTTTTTTTTTTCAGTTTTTATTTATCGGGTGGTCGGTAGGGTCGGTTCTACATATTTGGGGGGNCAAAACGCTTACTTGAAACGTTGTTCTCAGTAAGCTATTTACTGTTATTACTAAATAGCTGCCATTCAATTCGATATGGTTGGGGATTGCAGGTGGGAGCAGCATTATCCATGGTCTACATATCTGGTGCGCCGGTCATGTTTGTGGGTTGTGGGCAGTCCTATACGGATCTGAAGAAGCTCAACGTTAAGTCCATAGTCAAGACCTTGCTCATGTAGGCCTTGTTTGTTGCCTCGACTTTCCTAGCAAAACCTTGGCGCGGTTTGCGTTATGCGGTGGTATTATTATGACTTCAAAGTTGCTACATACCGTCTCTTCGTCATAAAATTTTAAAATACAAAGCTGCTATTACTTTAAATATGTTTCAAGTGTTTTTTTGGAAAAACCTTAGGCTCTGTTTGGTACACGTAATTCAAACTTTGGAATTAGAATTGGAGACAACAAATCTAGTTCTGTTTTTGGATGCACAAAAATATGTGGATTCGGAATTGGTAATGCCAAAAATGAATTCGAATTGGATCAAAATCAAATCCATAGAACTTCAACTCCCAATTCAATTTCAATTCCGTGTACGAAATGGACGCTTAATGTGCTTTATGATGGCTTTTCCAGAGGGTTTACATTAATAAGCAAATTTAAACAGTGTGTTTGTGTGTGATTTTGTTTTACTTTGCAGTTATTCGGCTCTAAATTGCACAACTATTATGATCATTATGTGGTGATCCGAAGTGAATTGCACAAATTTAAAAATTTATTTAGATACTCCGTATTACACAATTTTATTGTGCAAGTAAGGTGGTGGGTGGAGTGTTTTTGGAAGAAGAGAGTAATTTTGGGAGCAATGATGCAATTAATTGATTTTTAGAGTACTCTTGTAAAATCTGAAATTTTTCGGATTATTGTTGTGAATTTTTCCTTCAAAATATGAGGGAAAAATTCACAATAGTTATGTCAAATACGTATTCATATGTCAGTGAATTTTAATATATAATATTAAAAATACTATAAAATGTTAATGTCAAATAACTAACATTCGACAATGGCAAAGTTCTTAAACACGATGAAAACATTACTACCTCCTCAATATTTTGTTCAGTTTGATTTTTTCAAATCAAATTAGATAAATTTTGAGCTTCAATTACTCTTAATTTGTACAAAAAAATACTCTATTGGTCCTTAAATATTTACCACATTTCAAAAAATGAAGTAAAATATCAAATTTTTTTAAAATTCATTTTATTTAAATATTGGTATAGAATAAAAAATAAAATTTACATATTTAAAAATCACATGAAATTTTTTTCGAAATAAAAAGTGTTAAAAATATTTTATTTTATCAAATAATCAATGAAAACGTATAAATAAACAAAAGTTTTCGTGACTGCTGCAAAAACAAATGTGACAAATATTTTTGAACGGAGGGAGAAAAATTTTGAAAGTGTTCAATAATGTGTATCTAATAAAATCATTTTTATACTAATATGCATTACAATTTTTGTTTAGTTAAAGATCAATTTCTATCTTGTTTGATTTGAAAACTGAAGCGGTGGACAAATATAATACTACGTAGGATTGAGTGATAGAGGATGTATCAACTATTTTGGATATACTCCCTCCGTCTCCCAGTTTTTGTCCACTTTCATTTTTGCACATCATCCAATGCACTTCTTTAATCCATTTTATCTTGTAATTTGTATGTTAAAAATTATAGAAATTATATATTAATAATCTATATGTTAAGACAAATCAAACAAGATCACACATGACTATATTTAGGCTTACACATTGAGAGAATTTGATGAGTCAAAATGCTTAGATGAACACTTCCAAAAATCAAAAGTGGACAAAAACTGGGGGACGGAGAGAGTAATATTTTTTGCAAGGATATAATTTTAAATAGATTTGGTGGTTAAAAATAGATTATTTTTTGGGGAGGGGCGGAGTTAGTGCTGTATTCAGCGACTTCCAAATTCTTAGGGCGAGGACGATCTGCATCTGCTCGACTGCCGAGACGAGCTAACGTGCCCTCTTCCACCTCCGATTTCCTCACCGCACCCTCTGTACCTTCTGAGATTCCCAGCAACGCGGACAAGGTAACTCCTGTATAATTGTTCATTGTTTACTATCTTTTTTTAATTGATTAAGTGATTTTTATATACTGTGAATCGATTTTTATACCCCTTCCATCCCAAAATTCTGATCCTAATTTGACTTTTTTTATGTCACTTTGATCATAAATTGTGTTTTTATAACATTTATTCATTTAAAAATCATATTTAGATTGTGTTTCTATGGTATTGATTGATTTATTGTTGATACGTAGTTTTTGACTTATAAGCTGTTTATAAGTTTAATATATTCTTCCGTGAAAGTAAAATGACTTTTGAATGATAGATAAGTCAATGTTGCACCCTTGGAAAAACCATTATTGTTATAATAGTTTTGTTTAATTACTCCATATAAGCTTTTTTATCATACCATGTATGAGTGTGGTATGTTAGTATGTAGACATTCTATTGGCTTTGATTTGTGCTCATAGATATTCATTATCACTTCCAACTTTGGGCTTGGTCTTTTCGCCTAAAACTTTTATGGATATGTGTGGAACTTGCTAATTGTTTCTGGATTGGAAATTGGAACTTTTTTATCTTTATGGTTTCTGAATAATTAGAGGTATATTTTTGAGTGGCTCAAACTTTCTAGATCTTTCTGTAACTACTTGAGTCTTTTTATATAAACTTAAACTTTTTCGATACTTCTGAGAATAAGTTGAAAAGAGAGCATGCCTTAAAGCTTCACCTTCATATTTCGTTCACCATAACCTCAATGGCTCAATGATATTTGGAAGTAACTTTCTGCAGACCATTTTTTTAAAGAAAAAAAGCTTTTGCCGATGGGAGACGTGGCAAAAGATTTGAGCTCAGGGACTGTTGGAGGGGCTGCACAATTAATATGTGGTCATCCTTTTGATACCATCAAGGTGAAGCTACAAAGTCAGCCTGCCCCCCTTCCCGGGCAGCCTCCAAAATATTTGGGTGCCATTGATGCTGTGAAGCAGACAATCGCTGCAGAAGGTCCAAGGGGTTTATACAAAGGCATGGGGGCCCCACTTGCCACTGTGGCAGCCTTCAACGCGGTGCTATTTACTGTTAGAGGTCAAATGGAAGCATTGGTGAGATCTGAACCGGGTGTTCCCCTTACTGTGAGCCAGCAAATCATTTGTGGGGCAGGGGCAGGGACCGCTGTTTCCTTCCTTGCTTGCCCAACTGAATTAATCAAATGCAGGTGTGTTAGTTTGCACTTATTCAATCCTCTCTGCCCTGTTTTCCCCATCTGGTATGCTAGAATTCAGGATGCTAGAGTAGAACTAATATTGTTAAGGAGCTGGTAATTTAGGTTCTTTTTGGATCGCCGAAAATAATTGGAAAATTTAATGGGAAGAAAGAATATATGTATGAAAATAAAAGATAAAATTCATTCAAACTGTTTTATATACTACGTAATTCTGTATGAGTTAGTATTCAATTTATTTATTTATATTTAGTACTCCAGTACAATATGAAGTGGCTAGTAAATGTAAACAAATGTAAATTCGAATAAAAAAAGTGTTTCATTTTTTGTTACATTTCCCTAGGCAAAACCAACAACAACAACCCACTGTAATCCCAACTCCATTGGCATCTGGTGGTCAAGATGCACACAGTCTTACCCTTACAAAAACAGAGAGGTTGTTTCTCTTAGAACTTAGAAGTTAGACCCCAGATGCATTGCGGCATTTACTGCCCAAAACTTCAGAGAAAGTAACAAGCAAGGGTAGTTTAATTTTCCCCGCTTGGATTTAGTCCTTTGAGTGCCCAAAACTAAAAATTGTCAATAATGATTCGTTTAGCTCCATTGGCAATGGACAGATTCCCAAAGCAAAACCAAACATAACAAAATGACTTTCAATGGCATTTTTTGTTTCCCTAGTAACTTATGGAGTCCGGACATTCCCTAAGAGATCAGTTAAGTGAAGCTGTATTGTCATCTAAGAAAAGCTGATATGATCTCAGAAACAATAGCCATCCTTAATGAGAATTAGTATTCCTCAAAGGCAGTGACGAGGGATAATAGTATTTGCATTTTTAAGCAGTCACCACTTGAGTGGAGTAGGAAAACCTGCAGGAAGCAACTAATAATTGAGATTGTGGTTCAATTTTCATGTCAAACTCCAATATGATCAATGTGTAATTGTGTACTAAATGCACAGTAAGCAGTGTGAGTACATACATAGCACTGTGAAATGTTTGTACTCCATCCCAAAAAAAGAGTCATGATTGAGCAAGCTACAACTTTTTAGTTTTAGTCAAACTCAATCAGGGTAGAAGCTTTATGAATGTTTTTATTTATATCCCTGGAACATATTTCAAATATTCTTTGGAGTAATTGACTAAGGCTGCTTGGAGGCTTTATAGAAATTTATTTAACAATAAATGTTGATTTTTTAAACCGGCTTCTTTTTTGGGACAAAATATTACTGAAACTGGACTTTTTTTTAAGAGGGACAGAGGTTTGGTTTGCTTTTGTGCTTAGATATGCCTTCAGCAGACACGATTTCTTCTAAACTAATGCACTTAGCTTTCGAGTGGCTATAATGTCTGATGAGAACGCAGATTGCAGGCACAGAGTACAGTTGGGGCCAGTGTGGCAGGAGTGAAGTACTCCGGGCCAATGGATGTGGTAAGACACGTTCTGAAGTCCGAAGGAGGGGCAAGGGGACTCTTCAAGGGACTTCTCCCCACCATGGCTCGTGAAGTGCCCGGAAATGCAGCAATGTTTGGCTCCTATGAGGCCACTAAGCAGTACCTTGCCGGTGGCCATGACACCTCAAGCTTGGGTAGAGGCTCTCTGATCATAGCTGGAGGCCTAGCCGGGGCTTCCTTTTGGGCCTTCGTGTACCCAACTGATGTCATCAAGAGCGTACTTCAGGTTGACGATTACAAAAACCCCAAGTTCTCTGGCTCAACTGATGCGTTCAGAAAGATTCTTGCAGCAGAAGGGGTGAAGGGTCTTTACAAGGGATTTGGACCAGCCATGGCCAGAAGTGTTCCGGCAAACGCAGCTTGTTTCTTGGCATATGAGGTGACTAGGGCAAGTTTGGGATGATAATAATAGCCTTCTTACCTATGGATTCTTTTGATTTTGGATCTTATGAATTGCAACTCCCTAGAAAACCGGTTAGTTAAATGGGATGTGCTTATTACAACCGCAATATGCACGTCTCATTTGCCTAACTTGTCCTACGGTTAGGGAGTTGTGATTCGAGAGCCCTTAAATAAACAATCATCCATTTTTTGCTCATTCATTTTATGTTGAACCATTGTTTCAATAGGAGAATTTCAAGAATTAAAAAAAGGAAATAAATACATGTATGTAACACATACCTTGTGCCAAGTGGCTTATATCACACGTTCCAAAAGGATTTTGTTTTTAAAAAAAAACATGCCTTATTTGGTTTTATTTCTATTGAGTGGTTTTTGTGATTCCGATTCTCATAATTAGGTAGAATCAATTGGTGTTGTGCTTGTTTCTGATAGAGTCCCATGCTGATTTTGTTCACAGGAATTTGATTCCTAGAAGCAATCAATTACTCTCTCCGTCCCAATTTTATTCACAGGAATTTGATCCACAGGAATTCTCAGAATAAATGGCTTGTTTTATATGAAAATTGGCGTGGAATTTAAAAATATATATTTTATATTGAAAAACTACATTCAAAGTTCTACTCTCTGTCTGATTTTAAGTTGTCTGTTGTAGTTTACG